TACAGCCCTATATGTACAGATTTTTCAAGATAAAAAAAAAAATAAACAATTAATTACGAAGGATGTAATTTTACCCTTATACCTTTAATCTGGTTTGATTCTCTAATATCCTGATTTATTTCCTTTTTAACACTCAAATTTATTTCCTCTTTTTACAACCTATATTCTTTTTTTTTTAACAGCTGGAATGAAAAAGAAAGCAAATTACCACAGATGACGAAAAGCCATATCGTTGCATAAGCATGTCATTCTTCTGTCCAGGCATGTAATTGATGGTCATCTGATGGACATTTGAGAAACCAGAATGATGTCAACTCCATGCTCTACCAACAATAGGAAGACTAAATACCTAGACTAATAAATTAAATAAATGTTTTCTTCCAAACTGAAAAATTAATGAGATAAAGAAAGTACAACAGATTGAAGTGAAAGAATTAAAGCAGAAAATCTTCAAATCACAGTGTCAAGCCATAGTTTGAGAAGTAATTTGTGGCTTTTCCTATACGCTCAAAAAGGAATTTGTGCTTTTCCTATGGCTCCAAACTTGATCTTACAAACCAGAGCTCATTGCAAGCTCATTACACTGTTAAAGAAATTTGTGCCCTTTGATCATGAATAAATGAATGGTTCAGAACAAAGTCCAACATTTTTAAAAATAACAGTAAAGCTACTAAACTTTTTCGTGTTATCACTCATCATATCAGTTGATAAGCCGCTCAAAAAGCAGCAGTTTTATTTATTCGTTTGTTCTGGAGTATACTGCTCAAAAACCACAGAATAATTCAGAAGCTATGAATGATATAAGGCATTGAAGTTTTATTTATTCATTTGTTCTGAAATTGCAGAGGCTATGTAGTGATTGGAAACTTTCTGGTTGGGATTTTTTATACAAACCTATATAATTATATTATATTGATATTCTAAGAGAAGTGGATTCAGACACCAAGTCCAATAGCTTTATCTGCATATTTTCATGTATCCAAAATCATTTAGGGCATACATTCACCAAATGTTTAACAATTTATGTATCTTCAGCTTTTTCTGTTCTTAATCCAGACAATCTTTACTTTTTAAGTTTATTGGCCCTATAAATTCTACCACACCACCACCTAAAAACATATTCGGGCATCTGCACACATACTTCAAGCAAACAAATTTAGGAAAACATGCAAGTTATAACATGCAAATTATCACCTCGTCTCCCTTTTTTATCCGCTGTCCAGCATTTATCATCACTTCAAGCATGCGATCCTTGAAGCGCCAATGGAAAAAACAATTTGGTTCAAAGGAATGGTTCAGCATGTCTGCAGGATATGATTAAATCAACTTATTCTAAAAAGGGTCGGATTAAATTGACTAAACAGACATGGGTTAGC